ACACTGACCCTAACAATTGTGATGCATCGTTCAACCCCCGCTTTGGAAGATGTAAATCATTACAACTCTGGTGCATCTATATCCATTAATACGACATATACATTCTGGTCTGAAACACTCTTAAGTGTCACATACATTCCGGCGTACAACATTCTAAGTGTCATACAAAGATTTTGACAATGTTATACCCTTCGACCATGACGTATTGAGGGGAACAACTTACAGAACCACTAAATTTTTTAGGAGTCCATAAAAAAACATCACTGATTTTAGAGGTTTTGCATGAGCCATATAACAAGGACACATATTTTTTGGCGATAACACAAAATGTGTCACTGATCATTTTGGCAAAACATCAATTTTTCAGAACTTGCGGATACGAACAAACACTTGGTGAGAACACAAAACGTAATCATTTTGGCGAATTTGCAGATATGAACAGACTTATCATAAATGTATGGCTTCCGAATTACGAATAAGCTCGCATTTAAGGGGGGGGGGGGGGGGGGGGGGGGAGGGGTACTTTCCGGCATGCAACATTCTGTGTTATCACGAATGTATGGTTCCCAATTGCGGATAAGTTCGCATTTGGGGGAAGGGGGGGGGGGACGGGGGGGTACTTTCCGGCGTGCAACACTCTAAGTGTCACACAAAGACTCTGGTATGACAGTTGGGGGAACAACTTACAAAACCACTAAATTTTTCCTGTATTCGATGAAAAAAACGCCACCCATTTTGAAGATCTTCCATGAGCCATATACTAAGAGTCAATCTATCACAAACACGCATATGTTCTGGCGATAACATGAAAGGTGATAATTTTAACGAAACATTTTTTTTCTTGAACTTGCAGATACGAACATGACATATTTAGGGGAACCACTTACAGAACCACTAAATTTTTTTGGAGTCTATAAAAAAATGTCACCCATTTTGGAGGTCTTGCATGAGCCATATACCAAGGGTCAATCCATCATAAGCACACATACATTCTGGAGATAACACAAAAGGTGATCGTTTTGGCGAAACATCAATTTTTTGGAACTTGCAGATACGAACGAACATCTGGTGAGAACACAAAACGTAATTATTCTTGTGAGAATACAAAATGTAATCCTTTTGGCGAATTTCCAGATATGAACAGACTTATCACAAGTGTATAGCCCGAAGTGCAAATAAGTTCACATTTGTCATATGGACACAACAGTCAACATTAACTGAAGACATAAGCGTTTAACTCGCACGAAATAATAAGGCGACAGTGTCAAGAAAAAAAATCATTAATATCATGCATAAGTGTGAAGAACATTTACTAAAGACATAAGTGTTTGACAAACACGAAATAATTTGGCAAGCATGAAATAATTTGGCGACAATTTTCAAAGTACAAATCATTAATATCTTGCACAAGTATAAAGAACATCCACTGAAGACATAAACGTTTGACAAAGACGAAATAATTTGTAAAGAATATCAACAAGAGGACAAATATTGTCCTATTAACAATACGGAAAAGCAACATGGAAACAAATAAAGGTTGGTCGACGCTGTCGTGGTCCTAAGGAATATACGCAGAGAAAAATGCTTGTCCCATGAATAACACCGAAGAGTAACTTGAAAACAAACAACGGCAGTGCATCGTCCTAAAAAACAGGCAACAAGAAGCTGCGGCATTTACATCGAAAAACGTAAAACCCAAGAAGCAGAAAGGAAGTCCTACGAATAAAGTTGTCATGTTCTCTCTTAACGAAGAACCCTTAAAAAATACTGCATCTAAACGTCCATTTAACCTAAGATTCCAATTCAATCATTTACCAGACCTAAGCGTCTACTTCAATCCTTTAGCTGACCTAGGCGTCCACTTCAATCCAAGGGAAAGGAGTATGTCGAGGGACGTCGTGAAGAAAAATATCAAATCAACACAACGCCTCAAGCTGGCCGAATGCAAGTGAGAATAAATTTGTACTTAGACGCTGTCGTCGTCCTGAAGAATGTTACCAGAGGAAAACGATTGTCCTATGAATAACAAAGGAGAATGATCTGAAAAAAAAAAACAGCAGAAAGACAAAGAAAGTCCTACGAGACAAGTTGTCATGTTCCTGTTGATGACGAACCCCTAAAAAATACTGCAGCATGAGGATGAGATATTCACATCGACGTCTAAATGTCCGGTTAACCTAAGCTTCCACTTCAATCCTTAACCTGACCTAAGTGTGTAGTTCAATCCTTTACCTTACCTAAAAGCTCACTTCAATCCAAGGAAAAACGTCTATTGAGGAACGTAGTCACGAGAAATATCAGACCAACACCACTCCTCGAGCTGGACGACTTAAAATGGGAATAGATTCACAGTTTTGTTTGTGGTCTTGTGAATTCATGATGTCAAACCTAGGGGTATTATTCTGAGCTTTGGAGTATGTCCACCACAATCCTCCGCCTGATGTTTGTAATGTCGCTTTGGGCTATCGGCAATGGTGGCGGATGACCGCGTGCCCGAAAAGAAGCGAAGGCGAGCATGAAAATACTGCAACTCGATACGTCCGATTGTTGTGGGACACCACGAATAACAACTTCGGGGTCCGGGAGAGAGATTGTCGAGTGTCGACAAAGTTGACGAACTGCTTCGTCAAAGAGGTATTTCGTAAAGTTGGCAATCACATTGGAAGAAAAATCACCATCGTCTTGCAGGAGGGAATCGTAGTACTCCAGCCTACCTTCACGGACACATAATAGGGTCCAACGCACCCGTTGATGACTACCGTGTTGTACGAAAACATATTCCATTTCGCAATACTATCATGTCAACATCCCTCATTGACGAGCTTGGTATAGAAAAACGGATTGAAAATAAACAGAGGGACACTCGTGCAATGTTGTGTTGCCAACCAAGGTCAAGTAGAACTCCACTACCTCGTCGCAAAGCCATCCCCCCTTAACAAGAGTCTGGAGATGTTTTCTGCTCAAGAGAATACGACTGGTCTCTTTCCGAATCGAGGAAATCACCTCGTCGCCGTTGCTCAAATCTCCGAAGACGTCCTGCAACATTCTCAAGTCTGCAACGATAAGCTCCTTTGTAGGCAACGATAACCGAAAACACGATGTCGATGAAGCTGCACAAACACCCACGAACAAGTGTGAGGAGCCGCCAAAACCTGCTTAACCAACGAGGCAAACTGTTTAAGAAGTGTGTACTAAGCATATGATCGTTTGACGATACCTCGTTTGACATAGTCATCAAACCCATTAGACAAAACAGTAATGCTTTCAATAAACATCGCCATATGTTTCCGCAAAGCTTCCTCCTTATCTATTCCGCAAACCTTTGAAACCCTTACAACTCTCTCGAAAAGGTGAGGCATCTGGACCTTTTGAAACAACCCTTCACTTGACGATGACGTTTTCTGCGGTAAAGCGTCTAATGACCTATCGGAAAAAGATTTCCCACGCATGGTTTTTGAAGGCTTCATGGGCAGGGACATCGATAATCTCACACATGTAAAACATAGAAAACAACCCACAAGCTTTTTTTTTAACTTCAGGTAATAGCTACATGAGCCCATCACATCAATCTGGATGACCACAAAGCTGAATAGTGACAAATATGCGTGTGGTACTATTCACAAATCTTACCGTGCTCCAGAGTTCTTCGAGGGAGAACGACCTCCTAAAGCGCCATTGTACTAACACCCACGGAGGATTCGATGTTTTGCACCTCCACCATGGTTGAGTCGCTTAACTCAATAGCATCATAAATCACAATTTTGCGACCGGTACCTATGACAGATGCGCGATCATCTTGTTCTTCACAGCACGTGGTGGATGGAGAATCATGATCTTTCCGCACTGTATCCATGTGAAGAAGCATCGTTAACATAAACTCACTATGCACAACCTTTTCGGTATCCTCGACACCGACGGACACTTCATCGCCAAAAAGTCGAGCTTCCATCCCAGGTTCTTTGCATTCCACATCCTCCCCACCATCTTTGCTTTCAACTAACATCCGACTATGCTTAACCCACCACCCACCTTTTTGGTGTGTCAAATGATCACGCTTAACTCACCACCTATCTCTTCCCGTTGCACAACATGCGCTTCCGATGGGAGATCCTCTTCCCCCGCAGCTGCCGTACTCTTGTTCTCAAAGTCGACAGACGCACCCTCCGTAGCATGACATTGATGCTCGCTACCCCTGGTCTCCAACACTCCTTTAGCGGGCCCCTCCAGCACTTCGCGAGATGACCATTCTCGAGCCCCGATATTTGAGAACGGTGGTGAGCAGGGGATGACTATGACGAACTGAAGAGGCGGGAGGTTGGACCTCACTTATTCTTTGCCTCGTAGAACTGTAGCATGAGCAACACTGCTGGTGGACGACCCACAGGGTGACGTAAGTAACTCCGAATCTATTTGGACTTTGTTGCGCTCGCCAGAGCTGAGGGAACTGATGCTCGCACCTTCGTTCCTACGAAATGCAGGCATGTCGGCATCCAGGCAAAAGAAGAAGCAGTTCCCAGTAAATAATAGTTTTACCGCTAAGAAGATGCTACCGCGAGCTACAGACGTTTGCCTTGAAGTTTTGAAAGAAGGTTAACAACAGTCATATTTTTCATCACCACTTCAGGACACCCTTTACCACTTCAAGATGCAGCCTGCCTAAACAGGTGGTTTTCAGGGTCTTCGGACCTTTCACCACTTCAGGACCATTCAGGTCTGAAAATCCTGAATGGTTCTGAAGTGGTGAAAGCTCCGAAGACCCTGAAAACCACCTGTTTAGGTAGGCTGCATCCTCAAGTGGTGAAGGGTGGTTTTCATGGTTTTCGGACCTTTCACGACTTCAGGACCATTCAAGATTTTCAAACTGCCCAAAACTCTTACTTGACCACTCCAGGACACCCTTCACCACTTCAGGATGCAGCCTGCCTAAACAGGTGGTTTTCAGGGTCTTCGGACCTTTCACCACTTCAGGACCATTCAGGATTTTCAGACTGCCCAAAACTCTCACTTCAGAATTTTCATTCGTGCATTTTCAGCTATCCGATAACCACTTGTGGAAGTTTTTCCATGTGGTGCAGGAGCAAGTTGTTGTCCACAGGAAACTCCGTCTGCTTACGGTGGCATGGACTCTCGTCGACATCGTAAAACAAGGTTCTCGCACACACTGAATTTACTCGCACTTGATAAAACCTCAGGGCGGCGACGTCTGCCATGTAAGAACCTCGACTACCTTCGCATTGGCTTTCATATCCCATAGACTCACGAGTCCCTAGGGCTGTACGCTTGCCGCCCGACCCCTTTCCGCCCGACCCTTTTAAGCCCGATCCCGTTTCACCTGACCTCCTTCCTGAACCCTCGTCGCGCGACGCCTTCCCCTCTGCTACGTCCGTGTGAGTTCCAGAGTCGTCTCCTTCGTCACCTCCTCGACCTCCACCACCTCCCGGATGCTGGTCACCGACCGAAGGTTGTGGCATGGACTGCATAGGTGTCGACGTCCTGTGGGCGCCTTTCGGGGTTTACTACATTCAAATGCTCCACAAAAACTTCTTTGTTTTTTTTCTTAAATGGACCCGCTCCCGGTTTGTTAAGGGCACTCCACTTGCCGTCGGCTTCCTTGAGTGCCATAACCCACTTTTTGTTCTTTACAACAGGTTGGAATATCCTGGGGTGCCAAACGACGTTGTGCCCCCATACATATGCTGCTGTGAACCAGTGGTGCTTCCCGTAGAAGAGCCTATCATTCTCCCAGGTATCATGGTCCTTAGGGAGTTTATCAACAGGTGCGTTCTTCCCCATCATCAGACGATTGTTCCTCGATTGCGTCGCGCCCAAATACACGCTTCAAACCGACAGGGGACGTGCTATATCTTCGAGAACCACCTCCCCCTTCATCACCAACATGTGGCACCACCTCAGAAAGTGGCATGGACGCCAAATCGAAGGATTCGGAGTCGCTCACCTCCTCCATGTCTTCAGCGTCGACAGGGTCCTCCTCGTCAAACGGTGCCTTGTAGTTCTCGAGGGTTAGTGGCTCTGCCCTTAAAAAGAAAACATGTTCCAACCTTTTCAGGAAATTTGAGTCCGATTCCCACGACGCACGGTGGTAACCTTTCAGCACACAGAACACCGAGTTTCTTTGTCGATTTTATTCCATGTCAGTCTGAGCAAGTGGTGCCGGTTGGAAAAGGAAGTTCCAAACCTCCAACCTTTTCTTCTCCGACAATTTCCAGCACATATCTCGTTTGAGATCCCAGTTCCGTTCACTGCTAGTCTCGACAAAAGAGCAATGGTTGCGAATGTCCCCCACTCATGTCTTCACGAACTCGTGAATATAATCGATCATCTTCACCTCATCCTCCAACGCGACGACGTTACGACCGCTACGGAGGAGCTCCAAAAAACAGGGAGGACGCACGTTACACTAAAAGGCTGAATAATCCATTACTCTCCCTTCTTGGTTCTCACACGTGCCTCTTCGTGTTAGTTTCCAACGTGTCGGAGTCAAACTGACGTCAACCTTCTTCAAACATGCATGCTTGTCACACACATACCTCCTCGCGCACATACCAGTCCTTCCCTCCCTTCTGATCTAACCCCTTCTCACGCGAGCGCACCCCTCTTTCAATCGTGACTCTATCCCCGTCGTCAGTGATGACGTCATCAAGGGCAGCGTCTGTAGTCCAAGCTCACCAAGCAAGCCTGCCCGCTATACCTCTTTACAGGCACACGGCGTGAGCACATCCTGAGCAGTTGGCGTCAACCAAGAAGTCGCGCTCGCGTTAGTGATCTCCTCTCGTGTCACTAGTCATCCCATACCCGGTCTCGCACCCGCACACCATTTTTCTCTGCAGCCCAGTCTCTCCCGAGTTGACTCTCTCTCTCTCTCTCTCTGTATCCCTTTGGGCCGTGCCATGCCAAACGCATGCGCGTAACCACCTTCACGTTTTCCCTCACGGCCTTCAGGTGTCGAGTCTCCGATGGTCCAGCCTCAGCTGGCTTCACTCTGTGTCGGGCCAAACTGGCCTCAGGCCCGTCTTCCACTGGTCCAGCCAGCGGGTGGTTTCGGCGGATCTGATCCAGTCCATGCCAGGACTGGACATCCGCCTCGCGATCGCTCATCTCTGACTCCCCTTCAGAGTCCCTCTCGTTGTGTTGGACCTCCCTGGTCGTGCTCTCAGTCGACGAGTCATCCTCATGGTAGGTGACCGTTACCCGCATGCTCGCAGTCACTCCGTCTCGCCTGCACCTTCGCTCAGCCTTGTTACGCGCCTCGGTAATAGCTGCCCGTAGTCCCTCATCTCTCCTCATCTCCTCTTCCCTGTGAGCACAGACATTGATCTTTAACCTCACCTCCCCTTCAGCCTTACCATAAGACAATATGGTCTCCACTATAGTGTCTTTCTCATCCTCACGCTCCCACACCCAGGAGTATTTCATGTACCTAGGCCTATAGCCACGTAAGCCATCCCGATCTGCCATAGCCACGCTCAGAATAGCCAGGGTCCCGACTCCAGGTGCCCGCACTCAGACGGCTCAGGACTACTCCGTCTTTTTTTTCGGACTCAGATTAGTGGCGTTAACGCAACGAGATAGCTTGCGAGCACCCACAGATTAGCTGGCCAACAGTCAGCCTTTCCCCCCTTTTTGTAGGCCCTCCTTGTACCGCGGCCCCCGTGTTCTGAACGAGGTGCCCAGACTGCCTTCCAAATTTATCTTGCTAATAATAAGGCTCCTGGAAACGACATAAATAAATAATTTAAAGAAAAATAAAAGGATCCCAACGACCATGGTATAGGCTAAGCCCTCTGCTATCGATCCCTAGTTCCCTCGCTCAATTATGACGTGACTGCAGACCCGTTGAGGTGGTCCCATAACGGGATACCAACTGCCAACCTCCTCTTTTCAAAACATGTCGTCGGACTGCCCCTGATGGGTACCCGTGTCTGATGGCAAGGAGGGGGCTTATGACCTTCCACGGAGGGTGATAAGCTTCCTTCCAATGCGGCTGCGGGTCGCCCCTCTTTTGGGGTCCTACCACGCAGAGCTCAGCCGAGCAGGTCTAGCGCAGGCGATATACGAGGGGTCAGGCCAGCCTAGGCCATAAACCACAGTTTGAGCTCGGAACTCGAACCGTTGGCCTTTCCACAAAATGACAGGCTAAAGGGAAAATTGAGAAAAAAATAATAATGATAATAATAATAATAATAGTAATAATAATAATAATAATAATAATAATAATAATAATAATAATAATAATAAAACGAAATAAGAAGAAAAAAAAAATTATAACGCCGCAACGGTCAGAGGCCACTAGATCGTCCCAGACTAAAGCGAGGGTCCAGATCTGCGCGCGGTCCTGACACTTGACCACCCCCCCCCTTTTCCTTTTTTTTTTTTTTTTTTTTTTTTTCACCTAACCCATAACTCGGTTAGAGGGCACTTAGCGCACATTAGAAAAGACTGCGTCGGTCCCTCTACCTTCGCGTCCCTGGGCGAACCCGGCGGGTACCACGACCACAGGCCGGTAGTGCTCTTCTGTACAATAGGGCGCCGAGCCTGCGTGGACCAATGGAAAGTCCAGTGGCGCACCCTTTTTGCTGAGAGAAGGCGCCAACTAGGCCGGTCCATAGCAGGGTACAACCTGACACACTAAGTGGGCCTTGGAGGTTCGTGAACTACCCGACGAGCCGCGGGCATCTGAGCTGGGGACAAACTCTGAGCAGAAGCCTGGCACACAGGAGGGTCGGGACACCGCGCCCTCCGACAGCGGTACCTGTACACTTGCTGTAGAACGTCATCACATATAGAACCGACAACAAAGTTAGATTTAAAAACCAATTGAGAATCTGTTTCTTTTTATCTGCCTTAATTATTTCTTGCTGTAAGAATTGTGTGTGCTGTGGAATTTATTTTTGTCTTTTAATTATATTTATTGTGCGGCATTCACACACTGGGGAAAATTACTTATCTGTGGAAATGCCTGCGTGCCTCTATTCTCACACGTTTCATACCTCTCTTCTTCTTTCCAATCCCTCTCATCGTCTATGCCGATGAAGAAAGAAGGGGACTTAAGACCCGTGGTCAAATTGATGAGAGAAGACAGACTTTGATCGGTCTTCTTCGCCAGCTGCTCGGTGAGATACACGGCGCCGGTTCAGAAGTTGAACGGCTGGTTCACTGACAATTCAATCTGCGTGCTGCAGAAGAAGAAATGGAAGCCACATAAACAGTCGATCAGATGAAGGAAACCGGCAAGAGAGTTGAGGACCTCATAAAGAAAGGGTGAATGACCCTTGACCGGTATGTCGCCGAGAATCTGAAAACGATGGACCAGGAAAGAAAGGAAAGAAAAGAAGCGAAAAAAGATGAAAGAGAGGAAAGAAAGGAACCACAATTGTCTATAGAGATAATGGAGGAAAACGTTAGGCAATTAGAAAATACATTGAGAGAAGAAAGAAGAAAGATTGAGGAATTCCGGAGACAACAAAAACAACAACAAGAAGAAGAGAGAACAATGGATGAACTAAGGCATAAGTTTCATTATGAAGAAGCAGGCAACGAGCTTGCATCCATTCTACAGTCTATCATCGTGTACTGTGTTCATCTCGAAAAGAAGATTGATAGCAATACTACCTCATTGGAGACAATGACCAGACTCTTAAAAGAGAACGATAAGGTATGAATTGAGGAGGGGGTCAGGGGGGAGGTAGTCAAGAAAGAACCCCAAGAAAAACTAATGAACGATGCAATGAAGTGAGTCACGCCGGAGGAACCCGAAGGGTCCAAAAAAGAATCTGAGAAACTGGCAAAGAAGAAAGAAAAAACCACCAAGGAGGTAGAAAAACCAAAGAGGAAGGAAAATGTGAAAATGAAGTTGCCTCTCAAGTACAATAACAAGAAAGACGAAATTTACTGTTATAAATTGCAGAAATTCATACTTATTGTAGGACCGCACCTGTCGAGCCAGAGAGTCATGTGACTTTCTCCACATCATGTCTGGGAGGAGTGGCCAAATAATGGGTATTTTCCGAAGCTAATGCTGTTGGCTTCGAGGATATCGGTGAGTGGGTTAAGGCCCTATCCCTCAAGCAATTTCTCGAAAAGATCAAGGAGGGATTTGTTGATAGGACGACGACCAACAAGGCCTTTGACGAACTCACCACAATAGGCCATAAATGTTGGAGTTCAGTGAATGCTCTGTCACGTGAGGTAGATCGTCTTTTGCGAATACCTGGATCAAAGTTACAGGACAACCAGGTTTTGTATATCTATTTGCGTGCTCTACCTAAACCCATTCGTGGACAGCTCGTAGTAGAGGCCAAGTCTGGTAAGTACAATTATCGGCAATTTCGTGATTACACTCTCCAAGGAGAGAAGATGACCGCACAGGTAAAGGGTTCTTATGCTTCGATGGTAAAGTCAGGACCGGTTGGTGGGTATGGTAAGCATGTCTTTTGGGGGCAAAAGCGCCTGAACCACATGTTTGTTGGTTTTGATGATGACACCGTAGAGAAGTTACCCCTCGACGAGTCTGAGGGAGGAAGAGGTAATGGCAGAAGTGAGTCTGGGAAGGTTGACGTCACTGCCGTAATGACCAACAAGCGAGACCATAGTCAATGGAAGAAGAAAAGGAGGCCACACTCGTTTCCCGAGTATCCCGACATCGTGTTCGGGAAGCCCTGGGAGAAGATGGGCATGGCACGAGAAGAATGACAGTCCAAGATGGACAACCGTCAGTGTCTTAAGTGCGACACTGTAGGGCATGTGATAGCCTGGTATCCCTTAATCAGGAACACAAAAGTGAGTAGCCAGTAGGAGTAGCATAGCTTCTACTGAGTCGAAGGGTTTAGACAAAGGTAAGGTGCCGACAACCCCTTCTAACCCCTCGACTTATATGACAGAGAATGACTCTTCTTCGGCCCGTCGTCCGGAACACCCTTAGATAGTCTTATGTTTCGTCTCTCTGGATGATTCCCTTGATGAGCTTGGTAACGAACTCATAGCCATAAGAAGTTTGTGGTCTAAGAAAGCTAGATCTAAGGGCGAACTAATGATAGCAGACATTGAAATTGCACGTTTACGAGTAGGCGTCTTGTTAGACCCAGGATCGATGGGGTCATATATCTCAGAGAAGGTAATACGAAAGTTGTCTTTGGGAATGAGGATAAAGGACTTGCCTAGACCAATCACATCCATGTTGACAGATAAGAGCATTATCACAATCTCTCAATACGTAGACTGTGTGAAATGTTATTTTCGAATAAAGGAAGGTAAGAAGATCCTACATGAGATATCCTTCCTTATAGAAAATAATTTGCCCTTTGACATGATTCTGGGTATGGATTGGCGTGAGGAAGCCAACCCAGAAGTCAATTTAAAAAAAATATTGACAAACTAAAGGATGAAAAATTCGAAATGAAACCAATAAAACGGTATTATAAGTCTGAATCTGACTCATTCTTATCTTTTTGTTGTATGAGTTACCTAACTCTTAGATCAATGGTTTGTAAAAAAAAGTTGGACCGTGATGTAATGATCGTACTCGTTAAACAAGTCGGTGAGTGTTCCTCATCCTATCCTCCTTCTATTGAAAAACTTTTCGACGAATATAAGGACTTGCAGACTGAGCTAACGGGAATCACTGAGTGCGCTATTAAGCACGGGATCGAGATTATTCTCGGAAGAAAGATTCCCAAGGGTCCCATCCGCCGAATGTCTCGCAGGGAACTTGAGGAACTACTTAAACACGTTAGAGTGCCCCTGCCTTATTCGTGCCTATAAGGGAAGGTGAAGTCCGACTATGTATTGACTATCGAAGGCTGAACTTCGTCACTGTGAAAAATGCAGAACCACTTTCGCGTACTGACGACATGTTGGACCAGTTGCAAGGTTGCAGGTACTTCAGTAAGATTGATCACAAATCAAGGAACCACCAAATCGAGGTGGCTCCGGAAGATCAACATAAGACGGCTTTCTGAACTAGGTACGATCACTACGAGTTCGTGGTTATGCCTTTCGGATTGATAAATGCACGTGGGACCTTTCAAAGGTCAATGAATGAATTGTTTCGTCAATGGCTATACCAGTTCGTAGTAGTCTATCTCGATGACATTTTAGTGTATTGCAAGACACTAGAAAATCATGAGAAACATCTACGAATGGTTTTGCAGAAGTTGCACGAGAGCAACTTTAAACTCAACCCGAAAAAGTTCGAGTTTGCTAAGCCTGAAGTCTTGTACATAGGGCATATAGTAAACGAGGAGGGACTAAGGCCCGAAGAAAAGAAGATTACAAACAATTCGAGACTGATCCCAACCTAAGACTATAACTGAGTTGGGATCTTTTCTGGGACTTGTTAGTTATTATAGGAAGTCCGTCAGAAACTTCTCTTTGATAGATGCTCCTATGACAAAACTTCTGAAAAAGGAAAAACCTTGGCTGTGGGATAAAGATTGTGAGTCATCATTCATAAAGTTGAAGTATGCTCCGACTCACTATCCTGTCTTAAAGATTATTGACCCTTCTCTTCCTCTCATCGTCATGACTGACGCAAGTCAATATGGGATTGGGGTTGTACTACAACAGGATGACTGTAAGGGGTATAGACCAATAAAGTTTATCTCCAGCAGACTTCCGTCAGAGAAAGTGGTCAGCTCCACCTATGAAAGGGAACTGTATGCCTGCTGCACTAGACACTTGAAAATACTACTTCTTAGGGAGACACTTCACTCCCTATTCATATCATTCCATTCTGAAATGGATAAAGACACAACGAAGACTCTTGATAAGTTAGTAAGATGGTCCTCTTTTATCGATCCCTTTGACTTTGAGTTAAAAACAATCAAAGAAAAGTCTAATGTTGATGCGGATGCTTTGTTTAGGCGTACAGACTTCTTTGGAACAATTATCTCTTATCTCGATATCGAGAATGAATTGAAGGAACGAATCTGTAAGGGTTATGAGAGTGATGTTATTTGGGGTCCTATCATCGGGACCCTACGAAAAAACCCTTAACTATTCCCAGAGTATCAAATGACTGATGACTTACTCTTCTATGTGGATAAAACCGAAGAACAATTATGTATTCCTCGCCAAGAACAAATCAAGAGTCTAATCATTGGGGAATGTCATGATGTTGAGGGTCACTTTGGTTTTAAGAAGACGTATGTCGATATCCGAGAACGCTTTGAATTGAAAGGAATAAAAGAGGATGTACTAACGTATGTGTGAATTTGTCTTGTCTGTTAGAGGAACAAACCCTCGCATGAGAATCCGTTGGGACTATTGAGACCACTGCCTACTCCAAGTGAGCCAAAAAAGTCTATCTCCATAGACTTTATGAGTCTCACTAAGAGTCAAGATAACGACAGTCAAGTAATGATCATTGTAGATAGATTCTCCAAGTATGCTATGTTCATTCCTTTGTCTGCCGAAGCTAGAACATAACTGGTCATTCCGAAGTTCCAGATGCGATGGATTTCTGAGTATGGATTCCCGAAAACCATCGTCTGGGGATGTTCGATTCACTAGTCTACAATAGTAAACGTTGATCGAACTTTATGGCACCAGGTTGACCATGTCGTCAGGTAGACATCATGAAACGAATGGCCAAGCTTAACAAATGAATCGTCTGTGCCAACAAGTATTGCGCATGTATGTCCAACCCGATCATATAGATTGGGATGAGAACTTACCTAAGATTGCTAGTGCTTATAACAACAGTACACATACTGTTACAAGAAGAACGCCTAATGCACTACATAAAGGTTGGAAGCCTCGGCGTCCCATTGATGCTTTAACTCGAGACCACATTTAGAGGTTACCCCCAGAAACCCGTGAATTTGTAGTTTTGTATGGAGAAGATATTAAAAAGGTAAAAAAAATATACAGAAAGTCAAACTTCAAATGATTGAGCAGGCCAACAAACACCGTCGACCATCGCAGTTTCAAGAAGGAGATCTGGTATGGGTGAAGTCAAAAGAATTTGCCTTCGAAGAAAATGTGTCTCAGAAACTGCTGCCTGTCTACTATGGTCCCTGAGAAGTTCTCAAGGTGATTGGGGATGCAGATGGACCTTCCTACCGAATAGATGTACCCCCACACCTAAGGATCTATCCTGTCTTCCATGCGTCTAAACAACTACCGTATGTAGAGGAATATAACTTTCCTAATCGACCATCTACGTTTCTACCCTCCATGAATGGAGGTTCTGAAGTTGAGAAGATTATGGAACATGGCTGCAGCGGGCCTCTATCAACCCTGGCCTACGACCAGGGCCTATTCGACCATTTGCAAGTTCAGCCTGTGGGACCAAGTCATGGCCTGACCCACAAGTCGTGTACTGTTTCAGTCCAGTCCAATCTTGCCCTATACCACTATCGTTACCCGGCCAATCCAGTCCTGTCCAGTCAGTCCGGTGGGGGTATACCCCAATTGCAGTCTGTATTCTGGATCATTTTTCATTCTTCACTTTTGGAGTACGTGCGTGTTGAGTCCGCGTCGGAGTTGCGCTGTCCCTTCCAGCTCCATCGCCATCTCGTCCCCCTCAGCCCTTCGTCTCGATCCTGACGAACCGCCATCCCGGTGGGTCCGTCACACTTGTATCAGAGCGGGAACGTTCCCCTCTCCCACCCACCCTGGCCCCCACCATTAGAAAAAACGGTGTAAACCCGAAAGCGGGTTTTTGAGGTGTTTTTCCGGCGTTTTCGTGGTAAATAGCGGCCGAAAAGGTGCAGTGGCGACAAAGCGAGAAAACGCTGACACGTGGCAGAAAAAAGAAAGGTAGCACGATGCGTGCTCCCAAGCGCCAAGGCCAAGGATGTCGACACGCACACGCACACACACACGCCGCGTGCCCACGCCGCCCCGCCCCGCCCCGCCCCGCTCCCGGATTATCTTTATCAAGATTCGGGATGCATGCTGCTGCCAGGGTTTGAACCTGAGCAGCTGCTGGCCATGCGTGTGCGTAGCCACCACTGTAACACACTGGCGACAGTGTGTCTATGGCTCAGTAGTGCGGCACGATGGTGTTGAAGAGGTGTTGTGTCATCTATTTACCCCTGGCTAGAGGGTTGTTTGGCAACAGTTTGGCAACCGTTTGGCAACAGTTCAAGATTCCCCCCTGGCTAGGGGGATGTGCAACTGTGGTAGTAGGGTGGCTGATCAAGATCTCGGCCAACATTGAAACACCATCATCAATATCTTCTATTGCTGCGGCAGCAGACCAGCAGC